TGTACAGCTCTGACAATAAGACTGCTAAGTCAATTCTACTAAAGTACAACGTTAACAGACGATGTATCAACCTACAGGTATGAAGCAGTACTGGAACTTAGAAATCTTTAGGTATATACTATTTGAAGGTGAGCGTAACTATTGCTTTTGCTGGAATCATTTCATGCATATTTGATATGTAGTAGATTCTAATACCAGGTACTTAGTGGATGATACAAAATAGTTACTGTATACAGAAAACAGAAACAGTGCTGGTGCACTACCTAGTCATTAAAAACCAATAGAATGTAAATCTATGGTGATGACCTATATTTAGCCACGCCTGCTCTGGCAATGGTCAGAGGAGCCACTCGGAAATTTTCTGAAGTACCAGTCCACTTTACTTTGCCACAACCTTTTTTGGCAACTGACCAATATATGAAATTCATTTTTTTTAAAAAATTGGATGCAAAGTAGAGAGAGAACAAAAAATTCAGTCAAGTCAAGTCTGTGGGTTTGGGCACTGTTAATTGCTATGGTGTGCTGCCTGCTATGATATGCTGTCACAGTTATGACCTCAGCCTGTCATAAAGACGTACCTATCCATATTAGCTTCACATGAACAATCCCCTGTTTGTAGCTAAGTCCTACATAAACAACAGAGTTTTCCGGCACCAACTGTCATGCATTAAAAAGTAAATCACAGAAAATTATAACAGTCTGCAAAAATTGATAAATACCAGTAATATGTTTGACTTGGAACTCTGTCTGGTGGTAAAAATTTGTAGCATCACATGATTTCTTCTTGACATTTTGACATACAAATTATAAACTACATTGCCAGAAGAAACCTCAAAGTGAGACCTTTACTTAGTCGAGACTTCTCACAGCACGAAATGGACTTGGACCTTCTGATTTCGATTCGTGTGTAACTTTTTACAGGATTTTGAAGTGACAGATATAATTGATATTAATCATACTTATCAAGGTAAATATTTCAAAACTATGGATTCTGGCCAGTGCTGTCCAAACATCACTCAAACAAAATATCTCTGGCTCCAAGACTGGCTCAGCTGAATATGTATGTCGATTATCTGAACAAATAAAAACCAGAATCAATGAAAAGTTTTAGTTTTGAATTTCTCATCTCTAAGAGTCCCATCATAAATTAACAAAGTGTCCTTACAGCTTCAATGCTGTGTGAAACATTACCTCCACACAGCTGTTCAATGACATTTTACCGTGAGCATTCAGACTGTTTGAATTAGCTAGAGTAACCTTAGAATAAACAACACCTGAAATTTCACTTGACTTTGAACCTAGAACATCATTAATTTCATCTAAAACTCTTAAAATAAAACGCAAAGTTCTATATAAGTAACACTACATCGTCTAACCTTTTACAGCTGTTTCTGTTAATGTAAAATGTGGGGAAAAACAAGTGTGTTGAGCTAAAATTCTCAAAACTATAACCTTACAGCTTTAATGTATGTATTTATGTAGAAAAATCCTTTCATATTGACTGAAATGAAATTCTCCTCATTTCACTTCATTGTTAAACCCTACACAAAGTTCATTCATAGGCATGGACATAAATTTGGAGCTTCTAGGTCAAACAAGAAAAGAAGTAGCTGGTGTACTCTGAAGATAGGTCTGGTTAAGTTTGATCAAACTAACAATACATTGGCAGTAACAGGAGAGATATATTGATGTTCTTGAATGTTAATGAATCACCTGTGTTGATATCTCCAGGTAAAGATAATAATGTGTCCCTAAAATACATACTTAGAACCACTACAACAGAACCTCATCACCTTTAGATCATCAAATAACATTCTGTATGAATTTTTCAAAGAGTTTCAAAATCTGAGGACACTGTAAAGCAAATCAAAGCTTTAACCACCTACAGATCCAGAATTCATCTCATGTTGAGGCTTATCGGTTCTTATACATCGTTTGTCATCTGTTAACGATTCCTTCTTAAAGCCCTCGTAAATCATAGCCTCAATCATAACCTTACCTTGATACACTAATCTCATTATCCTCCGTCCAATCACTGACCTCATCAACTATAGCTAACCTCATCAGCCTATCAGCAACCACATCTCAGTCATGTGATTATTATTATAACCAATGGCAACATGGCTGGTTAACACTGGGAAAGTTTGCATTGAGACTGTTTCACTGACAGACATGATATTCCTTAAGAATAATGAGGGATAGATAGAAAACTTGAGAAAGACAATAGAGAATTCAAAGGTCATTTCGTCCAAGTGAATACATCCAACATAATATTGAAACACATCAAACATTTCTTCTTTTTTCTTTATTGTCATAAAGAGGATTGGCTTTCGTAAATTACTTCAGAATTTATTTTAAACAATTATGAAATTGTAATTAGAGTTAATGTTAAGACTTACCACATTAGAATACTTCAAAAGACAAGAACATTGTAGGTTGACAAAGCATCCAGTACAAGATTTATGCAGAGAGGCTTCAAATAACTAGAGCTGCATTCATCCTTTGAAATATCATCCCTGCTCTAAGATCATCTTTGCGCATCTTTGAGAAAGTGACATTACTTACTTAAATTGACCAAGATTTACGAGTGTCCTTGATGAAACAAAGCTCCACGTTATATTTTTGCAACTATTTCAGGCCTTAATGTTTGAGTTTGTATCAAGACTTTGATCGCATGTCTGTATTTGTTACACTAGCATTGTACATAAATCTATAACATGCCAGACAAGAGCTAAATTCTGCCCAAAAGCTTAATTTTCAATTTCCACACAAAACATACAAGATACTGTTCCTTATTATAGTTTTAGAATTCACTTCATGCCGCTTGCCTAACAAGAAATGACAAAGTAAAGTTATATAGATGTGTGTATATATATATACCTACCAGAGTTGTGATTAATATCTTCTAAATATAAATTTCAGAACGCTACAAAATGCTGGAAATAAACCCACTTTTCAAGTGAAAAGTTTGAAGGTCACTAAGATTAAAAGATTGATGGATGTCACAGGCACAGAACCATCCATTGATGTCATTCATTAATGGTGAAACAGGGATCTGTAGACAATGAAATGGATTGCTTTTCAGAAAATCTCCGCCGAACAGTGCAGGTCGATCATTGAGAGCTTCCTGAAAGGCAGGTAACTCTATACTCTGTCTACCTTAGGCCTTCCATCAATTAATCAAAAATCATTGCAGCCTGTCATAAATTTTTATGGCTACGGTGTCTAATGATAAAATATCTCAGCTTCATCATGCACAGTTCATTATCAGTATCCAATGTATGATGGAGAGGGTAGGCTTAGTGCTATATTGGTCAGGTTAACTTTGACATCAATCTTTGAGATCACATCCATTACCCTGAATGTCCCTGAGCATAGTCTTTTTTTTTAATGAAAATTGATAAATTGAAAAATGAAGTTTAATCATGTGAGAAAAAAATCTTTTTCACCGAAATGTCTCATTTTTGACCTTGAAATAAGTATGACAGGTCAAACTGTCATATGAAGTTTTTGTAGTTGTACAGCTAAAACTATCACAAACTATTGATACCCGACTACATGTGTATTTAGGACAATTCAGGGCACACTGGGCAGACACCAGATGGACATACAGGACACTGGACAGATACCAGATGGACATAGGGGACACTGGACAGATACAGGAGACACCAGATGGACAAAGGGGACACTAGACAGGTACAGGAGACACCAGATGGACAAAGGGGACACTGGACAGACACCAGATGGACATAGGGGACACTGGACAGACACAGGAGACACCAGATGGACATAGGGGACACTAGACAGGTACAGGGAATATACATCATGCTTCCTCAGATAAGACATGTTAAAATGTACACAACAGACAGTCTGAATAAACATAGGGGGTACAGGACAGACACAGGGGACGTTGGATGGATAAAAGGGACACTGGAAGACATTGGACAGACACAGGGGATATTGGATGGATAAAAGGGACATTGGAAGACATTGGACAGACACAGGGGACATTGGATGGATAAAAGGGACACTGGACAAATTAAAAAGACATTGGACAGACACAGGGGATATATAGCCTGCTTCAACAGAAGAGAAATATGTTAGGATGGACAAAATCACACATGACAGAATAAAGTTCCAGTATCTTGGGTCATCAATTTTTGTCATTACAATCTGGTTCAGACTTAGACAAACTGCAAAAATCTAGAGTAAACCCTTCCAAATCATTAAGGCATCCCAGGGATATCAACATCAACACTGATCTCTGCCATTAGTGTTCCTTCTGTAGAGAGTAAATGACCTTGATTGGCCTGTGGTACCGTGTATGTTAAAGTAATATCACTGAATACAGCAGATTATCATAAGCTGTGTGCTCCAACTGCTCAACTGAACTCTGGCAAATTTATAATATTTAGATTTTTTTAGAAATGAATACATAGGAAATGTAGGGTATATTGACAGTACAAGTGAAATATACCTGATGATAAACAGGAAACAAATGTTCTCATTATTTATAGTTCCATTAAATAAGGGCAAAGTCAAGGCTGAAACTGCCACTTTTTATGTAAACTTGTAAAATATTTAATGAAACTATGTATTGATAACTTTATGTTTTCTTGTCACTGAAGCTATGTCTATTCTCCAATAAAAATGTCAAAAAATATATATATGGTTATTCATAATTGTCGAACACTTATTGTGTGATCTGTAAGTGTTTGTTTCTATTTCAGAGTTCTTAAAGACTTAGAAGTCTGAGCAAAGTGAAATTCACCAAATGTACAATTATCCATGTATCTGATTTATAGAATATCACTCATCTCATACGGAGACATGAATCAACATTTGCCTTTAAGTCCTCTTTCAGCATTAAATCTAGTACATTGAAAACATGCGGTTTACTACCTGCCCTACATATCAGCTGTAGCATCCATACATGCAACATCCATCATTGAGTTCTTATTTGTACCAAAATAGAAAGAAATGAAAAACAAGTTACCTACCTTAGCTAGGTGGCGCTGTGTTGTCAGTGGGCCAAACTACTGACAGTGCGGAGATTCTGTGAGACAATAGGGTAGGACACAAGGGTGGTAGTGGCAGCCTGCATGTTTTGGGGTAGACTCTGTGTGAGACTGACGGGCGGTGGCAGGGCCTGAGTCATACTGACAGGCGGGGGCAGCGTCTGCTGGATGGACACGGGGGCCAGGGTTACACCCGTCAGATTGTTCTGCGGAAGAGATACCGGAACTATAGACCCGGGGTTCATTGTCACTGTTGGTTGGTTTAAACTCCCCTGAGCTGCTGCCGACACCGGCGCTAGCTCCCGCGCCAGACGCTGCTGCAATGCATGCTGGGAAGCCAGTTCGGAGTTGAGAGCAATCTGTTGTGCAAGACTGTTTGCTAGGTGGTTCAGAGATTGTGGAGCAGCAACATGGCTGGTCCCTAAAGATGTCCGACTAACACGATATCGAGCGTTCTGCTCAAGAAGCACTTCGTTAGTAGCTGTCAAATCAGCTACCTGTTTTTTAAGTTCATCCACTTTTCTACGTAATACTGAATTCTCGTCTTCTAGAAGCTGGTAGCTGAGGGGACGGGAAGGAGAATAACGATTTTCTACAAAGTTACTGCTGAATCCATCTACGTCCCTATCTGTCCTTCTCCGCTTTACACCACTACTACCATGACAATACTCAAAACTCTCAAACCGCTCAAAGTCTTCCTCATAAGGATCATAATTCTGTGAATTGTTGTTCCTCTGGTCGGACTTACGTAACTCAAATTCGTATTCAGTGGCTGTCAGATGCCTGAATTTACACTTTATGCCACGTTTACAGTTCATTTTAAGGTAGTCTTTACAAATAGGGATTTCACCCTTTAGGAGGGGCATGTCGTTGCTAGGGGTAACCCCGACACCAAGAGCAGCAGCTTGTTGAAGCCGTACAGGTAGTTGGCCAGTCTGTTTATAATGTTCCTCCTCTTCACGGGAACAATGTAGGAATTTACAGTTTGGGCGGTGGCAGCCAGTGTTTTGATAGTCATGACAAAATGTGTAGTCGTACTTCCGTTCACGTGAGGATTGATCCTCAGAGTGTGGGTGGCGGTACTTACAACGCTTACCACGCTTACAAACATTCCGTAAGTAATCCCGACATATATCATCATCATTACCATTCTGTTTACCAAATTTCACACTAGATTCACTTCCACTTTCGCTGTTATCAGACATCTTGCAATCCAGGTTATGCATTCAAACAGTTTTAATTGATCACAATATTCCTTTTGAATTTCAAAACACAAGATCAGAAATAGAAAATTATCCAAAGGGATAAAAAGTATACACAAATCAAAGCTCGCGACTCCTTACTGAGTTCCCATGTGTCTACGCATGTAGTCGCATCTATAAGCACAAGCGATAATGATTAAGAATTTCGAATTTCGCAAATTTTTTTTTTTTTTCATCAAAATGGTAAGAATCCTGTAGTAGATGAAAAAGTTTCGTAACACAGCATTTTTTTCGCAGAAATGACAGCAAAAGGCACTTAAACAACACAAAATTGAGTACTATGTCACAGCATCGTGTATTATGTCACTGACAAGCGTAGCATCTCTCTGGCGCGCTGGACTTCTGTCTATCTATACCTCAGATCTGCAAGTAAAACAAAATGGGAAAATTAATCCTTGCAAAAGAGAGTCTGATCTTGGACCTTAGTGACCGCTGAAGAAATACAAACAGGACTTCAATCTAATACAAATATACTATAAGGAAATATTGTATTACTATTATCCAGAGATGTTTAGATAGTTATCTAGATACAAATAATGAAGAATCACAACAATTATGTGACCAACAGTGTTCAGGATGAGAAATTTGATTCAGATTTAAATCAACCAGTGTAGAGGAATAAACAGAAAGTTACTCATTTTTAAATATGATGGAGACATCTTGTAAACATGGTTGTTTACTTTGTTTTTATGTTTCATTGAATGAACAGAACACCACACATAAACATTGTCACAAAATTGTCCAATCTGCTATGATAAAGATGTGTACACTTTAACCTAATAAAGATCCTAAGTTTAGCAGAGACATTTTAAAGGCAGGGAGAAGAATATCAAACGTGATAAACGAAAACTGACCACAGAAGGACAGTCTACTATACTATTGTCAAAATTTACTAGTAGTATAATAGGTGTGACTAATCAATTCCCACTGAAGCAAATTTCAGAAATCAGTATTTACCCGATTTACCAGAAATCAGTATAAACCGAGATTTACCAGAAATCAGTATAAACCGAGATTTACCAGAAATCAGTATAAACCGAGATTTATCAGAAATCAGTATAAACCGAGATTTACCAGAAATCAGTATAAACCGAGATTTATCAGAAATCAGTATAAACCGAGATTTACCAGAAATCAGTATAAACCGAGATTTATCAGAAATCAATATTTACCCAGATATACCAGAACATTTTTCTCAAGCTCAAACACAAAATCTAAATTAAGTTGTTATTGAAACTTAAACCTTTTGACATTACAGAGATTTCGAAAATTTGATAAAAGTCTGTTATTCCTACTGACAATATATCTTATCAACTTATCAAATAATTAGTTCTGATATGGTTACATATGAGATATAATTTGAATTTCTATTTCAATTATCTGTAAGACAATGATAGCCTCTGTTTGTCAGTTGTTTGTTGTTAAAAGTACATTTCAGAAGGACACTATTCTTTGAACTAGAAATAGTTGTCTCATTTCTGTTTTAATTCCACATAACTGTTTTTGTTGCTGTAAATGCATGTCAATCTACACAGAAAATATTGCGAATTACTGCCTCATTAGCATACAATGTACCGTATTTGCATACATGAATGAACTTTATGTAAATGGATGTTGCTAATCACTGCACACCATTCGTGTGTACCTCTCTAACTTCACACAACATGAAACATGATGAAATGTTTTAAAATTCTTCTGTTAGCAACTTGGTGACAAACCCATATTTATGTAAATAAAGTTCTCGATTGTAATGATTTCATCTTATGAAGTAAAAAAAAACGTTGAGCGTGAAAAAACAGTGTTCTCAAGCAAGGGAATGTCGTTATACTTGCCACATTTTTAACTGTCTAGAGGGAGAATGAGTGTGTTCATTAAAGACCTTAAGGTATAAATCTGGCCCTTTGACATCAATATTCAATCAAATCACAATATCATAAGCTGCTTTTTTCGGTGGACTGATAGAAGTTGAAAGCAGTTTAGAGGATTTACTGATAACTTATATAAAGATATAGGGACAAAAATTAAGATGGAAAGTCACTCTCTTTAATAAGGATTATGGGTTGGCAAGTGTAAATCTAGCAGGAAAAATGAGAGTTTTAATGATAGGACAAAGGAATGTTTTAAGTTCGAGCAAAGAACTTGTGATTTGTGGAGATCTTGAATAATGGAGGCAAGAAGTGACAGCTGGTTTTGTATTATTATATGACCACTAGATACAAAGTATCACTGTCAATGACAAGCTTAACATACTATCATAGGGAATCAATGTCAATGACAAGCTTAACATACTATCATAGGGAATCAATGTCAATGACAAGCTTAACATACTCACTATCACAGGGAGTCAATGTCAATGACAAGCTTAACATACTCACTATCACAGGGAATCAATGTCAATGACAAGCTTAACATACTCACTATCACAGGGAGTCAATGTCAATGACAAGCTTAACATACTCACTATCACAGGGAGTCAATGTCAATGACAAGCTTAACATACTCACTATCACAGGGAGTCAATGTCAATGACAAGCTTAACATACTCACTATCAGAGGGAGTCAATGTCAATGACAAGCTTAACATACTATCACAGGGAATCAATGTCAATGACAAGCTTAACATACTATCACAGGGAATCAATGTCAATGACAAGCTTAACATACTCACTATCACAGGGAGTCAATGTCAATGACAAACTTAACATACTCACTATCACAGGGAGTCAATGTCAATGACAAGCTTAACATACTCACTATCACAAGGAGTCAATGTCAATGACAAGCTTAACATACTCACTATCACAGGGAGTCAATGTCAATGACAAGCTTAACATACTCACTATCACAGGGAGTCAATGTCAATGACAAGCTTAACATACTCACTATCACAGGGAGTCTATAACATCCTCAGAATCTACACTGTCAATGACAAGCTTAACATACTCACTATTACTATTGAGTAACTTGTCATCAGAATCTACCAACAACATCATCATCACTGAGAGGTAACTGTCATCACCAGAATCAACCTATTACATCATCATTGGTAATTAAAGACTGTACATGTCCTCATATCACAAGTATGAAGGGCATTTGTTTTTGGTTTTTACAAAAAACAACCTATATCCTATCATTATAAAGGAGACTGAGGAAAGCTTTTACATGTACACCCATATTTAAAAATACATTACGTAATATGAAAATAAATGACGAATACTATTAAGACATGCAGCTCTTATGACCAATAACAAAGCCAAGTTTTAACATCTAATGGTAGAGCTCAAGAAAATGCTAAACCGAGGATTATACTCACTCTAAAAAGTCTTGCAATCCAATAAAATACCTGGCCGTATCTTGTGTAATGATGTTGATTATGTGTACTCCTTACTGTAAGGTAGTTTTGTATACAAATAAAAGTGTCAGATGATCTATTACATTAACATGGTTACCTGTTTGACCCAACAGGTGATTAAGCCGCTAATTGAAGTGGCATGTAAATTAATGTAATCAGATACAACAAAAATACCACAGCCTGTGTACATTTACCTCACTAACGAGTCAATCAGGGAATGGGGATGTCAGTTACAGTGATGTCAACAACTCAAGCAAAACATTAATTTACAAATTGTGATTATTTATGAGATAGCGACAGATGAAATGTGACATCCTTTTGAAAGAACAAGTTTGATGTTCCCATAAAACAGCTGAATAGGCAGCAATTTGAGGGAACTGAGAGAACGTTGTTCACAATGGTCACTGATTTGAGAGGATTGTGATAGAAAGTTGTTCACAATTGTCACTGATTTGAGAGGATTGTGAGAGAAAGTTGTTCACAATTGTCACTGATTTGAGGGGATTGTGAGAGAAAGTTGTTCACAATTGTCACTGATTTGAGAGGATTGTGAGAGAAAGTTGTTCACAATGGTCACTGATTTGAGAGGATTGTGAGAGAAAGTTGTTCACAATGGTCAATGATTTGAGGGGATTGTGAGAGAAAGTTGTTCACAATGGTCACTGATTTGAGAGGATTGTGAGAGAAAGTTGTTCACAATGGTCAATGATTTGAGGGGATTGTGAGAGAAAGTTGTTCACAATGGTCACTGATTTGAGGGGATTGTGAGAGAAAGTTGTTCACAATGGTCACTGATTTGAGGGGATTGTGAGAGAAAGTTGTTCACAATGGTCACTGATTTGAGGGGACTGTGAAAGAAAGTTGTTCACCATTTTTCACTGATTTGAGGGAACTGTGAGAGAAAGTCATTTTCAATTTGACACTTTTTGAAATAACACTGGACATTGCATTATTCTGTCTAATCGCGTAGTTCCGAACCCCAGAGAGTTCCAAGTGATGTGCCGTAGCCAACAAAAATTATCTGTATACAGGTATATATATGATATTTTCAGATCTGTACCAGCATGGTTGCCCGTGTAACAAACACAACACTTAAGGTTTACCTGAGTATATATTTTTTGTTTACAAAATGATAGAAAAATGGCAGTAACACAGAAGTATTGAAAAGAAACTTTCCTTTCTGACGGTGTGTGATTTGAGATTAGGCATTGCTGAGTTTCTGTAAACTGAGGCTGGTCATATGTTGCATTATGTAAACAAAACACTTTAAATTACAAGTGCACACGACTATTCTGTGACCAACCTATATATTTATGTCTTACTTCGGAAATGTACTTAGTCGTACTCCAAAATGTTTAGAAAATAAATAAACCCTATCCCACACTTTATCCTATCGTACATACATAGTGCATAAATCACGTTGACATTGTGCACACACTGTACGTCGTGTAACGTTGTACGATCCAACAACTGTATTTAACAGATACATGTACAATGGACGTGAGGTAGGTGACAAAGGTATGAAGAACTTATTCTATGAATTAAGATTAATCAATCTATTAATGAGCTTTTCCATAATTTTAACAGCAAAAGGAAAACAAAATGCGAGATACACAACCTTATGTTACCTTTTGTTGGTACTAGTTAGTTGGATGTAAAGACAAAGAGAATAAGCAACTACAGCTACATCCTGACTTGAACCTGGGAAGTTCATGGTCTAGGCAAATTCTCTAACCAAATGAATGACTGGTACGATCACGACCTGGTCTAGTACTTATACCAGTGATTTGTGTTGGACAGCCATCAAAAGAATTACATGTATTGTTACATATCTATACAGGTTGTCAGAATAAGCAGATATAACTGCTATCTTAGGTATGAGAATGAGGCCAACATGTACTGTATTACAGTAGTTAGAGTAAAACTGTCCATGTTTGTTATTCTCATCCAAAAAAGATTCTTTAAAATAAATGTCTTTACAGTATCATTCTGTTATGTAGTTTATGCTTTG